ATAGTGAATTTGTACTAATTTATAGTAAAACGTTAAAAAAAATTAACTCTACAGTCAGAGCAAACAATAGAACAAATTCGTAAAATAATATTTTAAAGATTATAGTTTACTTTTTGTCTATTATAAAAAATGTACTAGATTTTTGTAAAGAAACCCAAAATATACACGATTTTTTCTTGTAGACTCTTTTCAAGTGAAAAAAACATTACCATTTAACATCAAACTTTGGTTTTACATAAATAAAATTTAGATGGCCTTTAATTCAAAGGCTATTTTTCTTAAAATTATAATTACTTTGAGTAACCTAATAATATTGAGTAATATAATAATATTGTAACGTTATGACTATAGTCATAACAAGACACGAGCTTTTGTTTGTAAAATTTCAAGTTCTTTTGCGGTACAATAAAGTCGAGTATTTATTGTATTATACTCTTAAAGTTAAATTACTCAAACAGTATGGTTTTACATTAACAATGGTAAAGTACAATTAAATTTAATTGGAATATTATCCCTTTTATTCATAATTCAAAGGTAGCAAAAAGATTAATCGCAAACCGCATTTATTATAATAACGGTTAAAGAATTCACTTGTAATAAAAAGGTCCACTACAATACGTGTCTAATTAACTTGATTAACATGTGTAACTTCTTTTCGACATTTCAGAAAAACAATTTCGCTTACAGTTCGCGCGGGCCGCTATAAATTAATACTACGCATGTTATGGTTACTATGTTTGGTTTCCACTGGTGTTTCTGCAGATTACTATTATTATAAGGGTACTATAAAGTTTATTAATCCGAGGCTCTATAACTCATGATTTGGTTAGGCATAGGTCTTTAAGTGTGAGTACAACAATTATTTACTACTACTACTACTTTCATGGTAAAAACGAGCCACGCTCCACCAATTCCATGGCGCCTCTTTGTATCGTAATGGTCGCCCCGGCCGGCTAACGTGACGTGAACTTCGGATTAAAGTGATTAAATAACTTTCATTTAAAATGTTTCCTCACTAGTCCGTCGTCTGTTTCGGACAAGTTTTGGTTAGAAACTATTTTACAATATTAAAAAAAAATATTTGCTTTGAAGAAACACTTTTCATTTTTTTCCAACTTTCTTAATGCAGACTACACTAAGGTTTTCATCGTCGTTTTTGTAAACAGCTTTTTTACTTAAAATTACCTCGACAATTAAACAGAATTCATTTTTAATATTTAAATAATAAGTACGAGATGATTTAAGACGTTTGATAATTTCAAACGAACGTTTGGCTACTTTGATCAATTGAGATGCTGAAAGTAAAAACATTCAGTATTAACGAAATGTCATTATCACTGTTATTTGTAAATAATTTATTTTCAGCTGTTTATCTAAACTAAATAACATGAATCCAATATTTGTTGCTATATGCTCTAGCTTTGGGCCAAAAAATACTTTATTTGTCAGTGTTTACAATAAATTAAGATAACAATACCCAAACGACTACAAAACACACTAAACTAAATTATTACTGTACATGATTTTTCTGAAAAACAAATAAACTGTAACATACACTCGTTATGAAATGAAAATATGCCAAACAAAACTAGATTTGACGAAAGAAAATCATTCTAAATTATTTTTATCCTTTTTTAAATTGTGGTATTATACTACTTCAAATAGCCAATGCTTACAAGTATGTAAAGTTATTAAATTTATCCCTTTATGATTTACACATAAAACTTCAATGGGTCGTTAAGAGTTTTACAAATTTATTTCTATTTGATTAAATAGAAGCTATTAATCATTCTTGTGATTACTTGAGCTTTTAGACAATTTAATTGTTTATGTTAACCATATAAAATACATTAGTATTTATTTGTGCGTATGAATTCACCAGCACAAATGTCAACAGTTTCAGTTATTCGAGTCATAAACTCGATCTATAGAATGTTGTGTCAATAATCGTTAAATTTATACTTGCATTATGTTTATAAAGCATGTTCAGACAAACGGACTGAAAATTATAAAAACTCTCAATAACAAAAAAATTGAGAGTTTAAGAATACTGA